CCCCCGCGGGCCCATCTGGACCGCGGTGTTCGACTACGAGGTGACGGGCGACGAGGAGCTGACCCTGCGTAGGGGGGACCGGGTCCAGGTGCTGTCCCAGGACTGTGCGGTGTCGGGCGACGAGGGCTGGTGGACCGGGCGGCTCCCCGGCGGCCGGGTGGGGGTCTTCCCCAGCGACTACGTGGCCCCGCCGCGGCCGGCGGGCCCGCCGGCCTCCGGCTGCCGCGGGAGATCCCCTTCCACGAGCTGCAGCTGGAGGAGATCATCGGCGTCGGGGGCTTCGGCAAGGTCTACCGGGCCCTGTGGCGCGGCGAGGAGGTGGCCGTCAAGGCCGCCAGGCTGGACCCTGAGCGGGACCCGGCAGTGACCGCAGAGCAGGTGCGCAAAGAAGCCCGGCTCCTCCGAAGCTCTGCGGCACCCACCATCCTTTTACTCCGGGGCGCCTGCCTCAGCCCCCCGCACCTCTGCCTGGTGATGGAGTATGCCCGGGGGGGCGCGCTGAGCAGGGTGCTGGCGGGTCGCCAGGTGCCCCCGCATGTACTGGTCAACTGGGCGGTGCAGGTGGCCCGGGGCATGAACTACCTACACAATGAGGCCCCCGTGCCCATCATCCACCGGGACCTCAAGTCCATCAACAGTAAGTGGTGTCATCCCCCAGAACTTGCTTCCATAGGACTTTAGGAGGCCAGGCTGAGGTGGTGGGAAGTGGGAAAACCAGAAAACACTGCCCGGGACAGGCAGGGGCAGCAGTAACCTTCAGGGCCGGCGAGGCAGGCCTTGCCCATTAAGGGAGGACAGGGTGGCTCAGAAAGGTTGAAGGACTGCCTGCCTCCCAGGCTAAGGTCGCCGTCGCTCAATAAATACGTGTCTGTAAACACTGTGACAGACCCTGCATTCCCGGTGTGAACAGGGCAGATGCACCCCTGCCCACCAGGACACCAGAGCCCCCCAGAGACAGAGAACCTGGCCTAGTGAGGGTTTCTCGGCATTGGCACTACTGACCTTTGGGGAGGGTGATCACAGGGTCGGTCTCGTGTGTGGTAAGTTGTTGAGCAGCATCCTTGGTCTCTACCCACTAGATGCCACGGGCATTCCTCACCCCAACCCCACCTCCAGTTACGATAAGCAAAAATGTCTCCAGACATTGCCAAGTGCCCCCTGGGGGGCAGACTTGCCCCTGTTGGAGAACCACCTCCTGGCGTCCTGCTATGCCTCTGGTCCAGCTCGCTGAGGCAAACGAAAAGACGAGGAAGGAGGAAAAGGAATGTGCCTTATGTAAATTCCAGGCTGCCAGGCCTGTCACAGGCCCTCAAACGTTGATTGGTCGTTGAATGAGGACGGAGACCTGGTAGAAGGGAAGGTTCCCGGGGACCCACATCTAGATCAAGGAGCTTCTCGTGATGTCAGCAAATACTAACTGAGCACCTCTTATGTAGGAGCAAAGCAGGGACGAAGATGGCCATGATTTCTGCCCTAATAATACCTACAAACTAGAGATTTCATTCATTCCCAGATATTTCAGGAGCGCCTGTTGTATGCCAGACCCTGTTGTGGGTCTTAAGGATACAGCAGGGGCAAAATCCTACTCTCCTATCTTCCTCTGCCCCTTCTCACTTCCTTTCATTTCTGCATTTATTTAATCATTCTTTAGTTTGGTATTTACTGGGCTGGATCTTGTGCTAAGCTAGAGGGATCAATGAGAAATGAGACCAGCATGTTCCCTGCACTCACATGAACTGTGAAGGGTTCCCCTTGGCCCTCACATCTCATCTATTTCTGATCCCTGTCAGTTCTACATCTTGAAATTTGTTTGAATCCATCCCATTATTTTTTATAAGTTTGTTGCTATGCCCCCACCACCACCTAGAACAGAGGGGTGGGCCTTACCTACCAGGCCTGGCATTCGTACACTCAACAGAGAGCTACCAAGTGTTCAAGGTGTGCCAAGCCCTATACCAGGACTGGGAATGAAGGAAGACAGACATAGATGGTCCCTGCCTTCATAGATGCTCATGCTCTACTCCTCTGAAATGCTGGGTAAATGGAGGCAGGACTACGGGCATGCTCCCCTTGAAGGCTAGGGCACCTTCTAGGTTCTTCCTCACCCCTGCTGATTTCACAGCCTGCAGCTGGGTATAAAGACACTGCTCCCACCCCCAAGTTGTTGTGTAGCCAGTGCCACCTGAACAGAGGGTTGGTAAGACTCTAGGCCAGGACTTCCTGCTCCGGCAATGGGCCTGCTCCGTGCCTGAGACAGAGGATACAGGCCTCCACAGCACAGCTTCCCCCAGTCATCCTCCCCTAAGGAGTCCTCATCTGACGTATCACTCTCACTGGTTCTTTCAACCAATAATTGTTAAGCAGAATTAAGCATACTAGGCACTGTCCTAAATTTATAAAAATTTGTAAATTTTTAAAAATATTTTCAATTTATTTCAGGGAGGAAGGGAGAGGGAGAGAGAGAAACATCAATGATGAGAGAGAATGATTGATTGACTGCCTCCTGCATGTCCCCTACTGGGGATCGAGCCCGCAACCTGTGCATGTGCCCTGACCGTGTCCTCCTGGTTCATAGGTCAATGTTCAACCAGTGATTGATATTTAGATAAAATGTCCAGAGAGTACCGAGCTCCGAAGGAAATAAAGCAGATTAAGGATGGGGCAGAGAGAGCTCTTTAGATCAGCTGGTCAGGGAAGGCAACATTTGAACAGAGACCCGAACCAAAAGGATCCAGCCTTACAAAGATGTGGGCAGGGCAGAGGTCATGAGGAGGGAAAGAGTGTGCCTTGTTAGAGAGACTGCAAGACCCCAGGAGTTGCAAGAGTAGGAGTGAGGCAAAGGTGGAAAGGTAGGCAGAGGCCAGATCCTGTTGACCTTGGGGGCTACAGTGAAGACTTTGGGCATTTTATTCAATGTAGTGGAAGCCATTAGAAGGTTTTAAGCAGGAGAATGACATGATCAGATATATATTTTTTTAAATATATTTTATTGATTTTCCACAGAGAGGAAGGGAGAGAGTTAGAAACATCAATGAGAGAGAAACATCAACCAGCTGCCTCCTGCACACCCCCTACTGAGGATGTGCCCGCAACCCAGGTACATGCCCTTGACCGGAATCGAACCTGGGACCCTTCAGTCCGCAGGCCAACGCTCCATCCACTGAGCCAAACCGGTTAGGGCCAGATATATTTTTTAAAGGGAACCGATTTAGGCCCCGCCTGGAAGATGCAAAAATAAAGTGTATGACCATGGGGTTGTTCCCTCTGTCACAGGATCACTCCACAAACAGGAGCAGTGGGGACCCCAGAAGGGAGTATTTCTAGTAGTTGGAGTCACAGGCAGTCACAGGAGGCTGCCAGGAGGAGGCGTCATTTGAATCAGGCTTGTAAAAATTGACAAGATTACCAACTGTGTGACCTTGGGAAATGTACTGATCTCTCTAACCCCTGGTTTCTTCATCTGCCAAATGGACATGATAGTAGAATTACCTCATTGTTATTTTGACTGGAGAAGTAACTGGGAAGGGTCAAAGATAAAGAAACAATTATGGTGGCATCACACACTAATAGTAATAGCTAACATTCTTAAAGGTCTTACTGTTGCTTCAGGCAATAAATCTTTGCTACAACCCTATAAGGTAAATATTATTATTATTATCATCTCCATATAACAGAGGAGAAATCTTGGTGTTAATAAAAATAAAATTATACAAGGTTATGCAACTAATAAGTGGCAGGCTTTAATTCCAGCCCAGGCTGTACCCTGTACACTTTGGGGCCTCTGTTTGATAGGAGGTAGTAGAATGTCATAGGAGTTAAAAGATTGGGCTTTGATGACACATCTGGGCTTTACCTCACCATTTTTAAGCTGTGTGATCTTGGCCAAGTGACCTCATTGCTCTGAGCCTTGGTTTGCTAGTCAGCAAAATGGGTTGCTTGCTAGTTAATTTATGTAAATGAATATAATGAAATGAATACTAATATAAGTGAAACACTTCATGTAATTCTTGGGATGCTTAGCACTGTGCTTGCCACATAATAATATCCTGATAAACAGCAGCCATGATGATTATTAGTATTGACGGTAGGCAGCAAGTAAGTTGGAACCATTCCGTATGCTTTGGGGATGTATCAGTCAGATTTTGTCACAATACTGTTGTGTAACAAACCACCCCCAAACTCAGTGTCTTCAAACTCCTTGTCATTTATTACTGCTCATGCATTCGCAGGCCAGCTGGAGGGTAAATGATTTAGGCTGGGTCAGCTGGAAAGGCTGTGCTTCGAGGATCTCGCATCTGCCTTGGACCAGCAAGGCATGTTCTGCTGATGGCAGAAGTGCAAGAGGGCAAGCCAGCACACGAGGCCTTAAGGCCTAGGCTTGGTACCCTCACTTCTGCCTCACTCTACTGGCCAAAGCAAGTCATCTGGCCAACCCAGAGGAAAGCATGGGGACACGCACTCTGCGTCTTTAGTGGAAAGATTTGCGAAGTCAGGTGGCAAAGAGTATGACACAGAAAGGAGTAGAATTGGGGCCATGACATGAGTGCAGTGACCACAGGGATGACAAAGACAAAGGAAACCTTGTTCATCCCTTTGGCTCATGGTTTGTAGCTTCTACTTCTGGGGAGGTTGGGAATTCAAGGCGAACCAAGGCCTTGGCCATCGACCTTTCACTGAGCTCCCCAGCGTCCAGGTTGGGGCCAAGAAGTACTCCTGGAAGGTGTAGGGATTAGACCGGCCACTTGAGGTGGGGGACAGAAAACAGGTAAAAAAGTCCAGCTGAGGCAGGGCCAGGACATGCGGTCTACAGCCCACCAGGTCTGGGGTGACCCCTTTCTTCCTACCCCACAGTCCTCATTCTGGAGGCCATCGAGAACCACAACCTCGCGGACACGGTGCTCAAGATCACGGACTTCGGCCTCGCCCGAGAGTGGCACAAGACCACCAAAATGAGCGCAGCAGGGACTTACGCCTGGATGGCCCCGGAGGTTATTCGTCTCTCCCTCTTCTCCAAAAGCAGTGACGTCTGGAGGTGCTGATGGGGCTTGGGAGGCCTCTTGGAAATGGTGGGGGGGGGGGGTGAGCAGGGGTGAGGGCAGAGTGGGAGGGACAGTCTCCCACTGAAGCCAGGTTCTGGGCCTGGGAAAGTGCTGGCCACGTCAGACCAATAGACGGGTACCAAAGCAGGTCTCTGCTCTGATAGCAAAAGTGGCAGCTGAGGAGGACTTGGATTGCAGTAAAACAAACACACACAAAACAAAAGCAAAGATGTAGAGATTGGATGTTGTCAGCACGAAAGGCCCTTCAGACACCATCCATTACACAGCCCCAACTTGTCAAACAGGAAGTTGAGACCTTTGGAGACAACCATTCATGCATGCATCCATCCAACCAATAGTGCTGGGTGCTAGGGATACAGCAGAAATAAAAACAGACACATTCCCTGCTTGCAGGGATAGTAAACAAGCACACAAGAAGCTGGAAAAAAGCCGTTTTTAAGAAAATTGTAAAGTAATATAAGTTTATTCACTAGAAAAAGTATTAGGTAGCATTATGAGCCAGGAGGTTGACGGAAAAGAACTCTGAAGGCTGGAGGACTTCTTGCAGAAGGCTTTTATGAGACGAGATAATTGAGCTGCATCCTGGATGACAAGACAGAGCCAACTATGCAGAGTTTGGGGGAAGAAGCTTCCCGGTCAGAGGGAACAGCTCACACAAAGGAGGTACTGAGATGAAAATAAGATTCGTGGGACCAGAAACAGCTATGAGGACCTGCGTGGTTGGCTAGAGCAGACGAGGAAAGTGGTAGGAAATGAAGGAAAGAGAGCTGGAGGGCCTCTTGGATGAGGCACCAGCCTCTGTTTTATTCTAAGCATAATGGAACGCCATTAGAGGCATTTATGAATGATGCGATCTGACTCAGCATTGGAGAGGCTGCCTCCAGTTGTAGGGTGGAGAATGGATTGTAGGGGAGGAGTGGGAGTGGGAGGCCAGTGAGGAGGCTGCTGCCATCACCAACAAGACTTTGTGGTGGCAGCAAAACTCTTTAACCCAGGGCCTGCTGCTGGGAGAGAGCCCCCACTGAGGCTCCAGATGGAACAAGCAGCAAAGTCATGGCTTTGGGGCAGACAGGATCTCAACTAGAGAGCACAGCCTTCGGGTGACGTCCTGAGACTGTCTTCACATGAGGCATCATTTGTGGTCCCAGGCATTTAGCAGAGCCATGTTTCAGTGGCAAGGAACAGAAACCCCAAATAAAAACAAGGCTGAAGTTTTTGCTGTCATGTGAAGCCAGGACTGATAGTGTTAGGGATCCAAGGTCCTATGTCAGGGTCCCTTAATGGGGGTGTCATTGACATTGGGCAGGATAATTCTTGCTTGTGCGATACTGTCCTGGACTTTTCAGGACAAAGGTATCCATGGTTCGAAGCAGCCAAACATCAGTAGCACTCCCCGGTCGCTGTGACAATCAAACATCCCCACAGGTTTCCAGGGACAGAGGAAAGGTGGAGGGTCGTGCCGCCTCTAAGTATAAGCCCCTCTCATGTTCCTCCACCTGGCATGGCCTCCATCCCCAAGTTCGCCTCATGGTCCAAAACGGCTGCCTGCGCTCCAGCTTTCATGTCCACATTCCAATCAGTAGAAAGGAGAAACGATTAGCGGGGCACCTCTTCCCTTTAAGGATACTTCCTGGAAGTTAGTTGCACACTACACACCCTGCTACATCCCTCTGGCCAGAACCAATGTCATGTGGGCACAATGAGCTGCAAAGGAAGATGGGAAGATTATTTCAGGCAGCATATGCCCAGCGCAAATTCACCAGCACTGTCACTGAGAAAGAGGGGAGGCTGCCAGCTGCATGAGGGCAGGAGTCGCATCTATCTTGTTCCAGTGCCTGGAACAGTGTCTGGCACACTGGATACTTAGGTACATGTGAATGAATGCACGTGGGGATGTGGGGGACATGTTAGGCACTGCATAAAGCAGCGGTCAAGATCCAGAGGAGCACAGCTTACTAGAGAAGATGGGCACGCAGGTGGTTGTAGCACAGAGATGCACGCTCTGGTGCTGTGGAGCCATTAGGGACATTGTCGTGAGCATCAGGCAAACCTGAGTTTGAGTGTGGCTCTACTGCTTACTAGCTGTGTGACTGTAGGCAAGCAGCTTAACCTTCTGAGCCTACAACTCTGCTCATCAGATAAAATGGGGATCATACCAAGACTGCCTTCCAGGGCTGTTGTGAGGATTACTGAGTGCCTAGGACAGTGCTAGCCATAAGAAAGTACTTTATAAATGTTAGATAGTGTTAACTTGTTTTTATGGGTAAGTGCCACAGGTTCTATGGGAGCATAGAGGAGGGACCTCTAACCCAGCTTTGGAGGCTGTGAAATCAAGGAAGGCTTCCTGGGAGAGGGAGCACCTGAGTTGAGACTGAAGGGACAGTTACAAAGGGAAAAGTGTTCTTGACAAAGGGAACAGCCTGTGCAAAGGCCAGAAGTTTGGAAGAACAGGGCTTGTTCAACTCAAGTGTGGCTGCAAGATGAAGCTGAGGTTGATATGGAGGCTGAGAGTGCTTACAGGTGAGCTGCAGGGGTCACCGAAGGTCACGGCTAAGAAGGGTGGGCACAGGGGACCCACTGAAGGTTTCCAGGCAGGGGCAAGGGAGGAGAGAGCAAAAGCCAGACATCAGAGAGCAATCTCAGCACATCCATTTGCGATCAGGGCAGAGGAGGTCAAATTAGGTGGTTGTGGCCTCTTTGGCCAGGCTGAATGTCGGGGTGAGGGGGGCGCACCCGGGAACTGGAGGCAGGAGGCAGGACTGGGGTATAAGTGAGGATTGGGGTGGATTGTGGCATCACCCCTCCCTCTCCCCCACCTGCAGCTTCGGGGTGCTGCTCTGGGAGCTGCTGACGGGTGAGGTCCCCTACCGTGAAATCGACGCCTTGGCTGTGGCATATGGCGTGGCTATGAACAAGCTGACACTGCCCATCCCCTCCACATGCCCCGAGCCCTTTGCCCGCCTACTGGAGGGTGAGCCAGGGCCCCGTGGAGAGGGAAGGCTCAGCTTGGGTGGCAGGGGCCCGTGGGTCCAGACCTCGCCCATTCACACCCATCCATACCAGTGGGCCCAGGGGTGAGAGAGAAGGGCTGGACCCATCAGACAATGACTCCCCCACAGTTGGCTCCATGGCCCCCAGACCCTTACTCTGGCCGGGCCCACAGTTCTTGAGGGCAACCTGTTAGGATTCATTGGCCCTAGGATCCCTCCCTGATCCCTGATTCTATCAGCAGTCAGAGATCAGGTCCCTGGGTTTCTCTCCCAGAGTTTCAGAGTGAAAGATTGCCAGGAGTTTGGGTTTGAATTCCTTCCCCTCAGCTCCATGGAAGCTGTCTGTGTACAGCCCCTTAAAGTCCTGCCTTTCACTGAGCAGGCTGATGCCCCAGAGCATGACCACTGACATCTCCACTCCCACCCCAGAGTGCTGGGACCCAGACCCCCACGGGCGGCCAGATTTCAGCAGCATCTTGAAGCAGCTTGAAGTCATAGAACAGTCAGCCCTATTCCAGATGCCACTGGAGTCCTTCCACTCACTGCAGGAAGACTGGAAGCTGGAGATTCAGCACATGTTCAATGATCTCCGAACCAAGGAGAAGGTGAAGGCAAGGGGCAAGGTGGGAGGGATGGACAAGACCCCTGAGTTCTGATGCCTTGGGTGGGGTAGAGTCCCTTCCCGAGCCGGGGCCCAGGGACCCTTTTTTGTCTAAGAAAAGACAGCCTTCTGTTAGTGGATTAAAAAGAAAAAGGCACCCTGCCCTGAAGTGCTTACAAGTGATACTACCTGAAATACTACAGCAAAACGAGAGGGAGAGAGAGGAGAGAAGGAAGGGGAAGATTTGCAAAGTACGGACAATTGTTGGATGATGGGAGCATGGGGACAGACTGTTCTCTCTGCTTTCATGGATGTTTGAAGTTTTCCTAATTGAAGAGTTAAAAAATTAAAGAGGAAAAAAAAGACATTCTTTCTTTGGGCTAACACAGTCCCCGGCCCTGGCACCCAACTTTTGTGCCCCCAATTTGCTCACACAGCAGGACACTCCTAGGCAGGGCCCCAGCCAGACCCCTCAGCCCTGGGTTCATCCCAGGGGCAGAGAAGCCAAGCCCTTTCCCCAGCCCCGTCTCCTCTCCAGGAGCTCCGCAGCCGTGAGGAGGAGCTACTGCGGGCGGCCCAGGAGCAGCGCTGCCAAGAGGAGCAGCTGCGACGGCGAGAGCAGGAGCTGGCGCAGCGTGAGATGGACATCGTGGAGCGGGAGCTGCACCTGCTGATGTGCCAGCTGAGCCAGGAAAAGCCCCGTGTCCGCAGACGCAAGGGCAACTTCAGGCGCACCCGCCTTCTCAAGCTGCGGGAAGGTGGCAGCCACATCAGCCTGCCCTCTGGTACTCATCTCTGTCCGCTTGGAGCGTCCCTAACCCAGAGTTTATTGCTTCCTTTTTTCTTTTCTTTTTAAAATATTTTTTAAATATTTTTTTTATTGATTTCAGAGAGGAAGGGAGAGTAAGAGATAGGAAACATCAATGCTGAGAGAGAACCATTGATCGGCTGCCTCCTGCACACCCCCTACTGGGGACTGAGCCCACAACCTGGGCATGTGGCCTTGACCAGAATCGAACCCAGGACCCTTCAGTCCGCAGGTGCTCTATCCATTGAGCCAAACCAGCTAGGGCTTTTAATATATATATATTTTTAATGCTAAATACCATACACACATACACACACACACACACACACAACCACCAAAAACTGTACAGCTTAAAGCATCAGTGTAATCACCCTACAGCCACCAGTTGCCCTCCATGTGCCCCCCCAACGCCCTGCAGCCCCGAGAGTGACCCGTCTTGACTTTCAGGGCAGTCACTTCCTTCCTTTATAGTTTTGTCTCCCAACTATTTGCTTAATATCTTTTGCTCTGCCTCGCTTTCCTCCTTGCCAATAATTTGTTGAGGACACTTCATTTATCCTGTTCCCACGGTCTAGATTTTGCTGCTTGAATTGCCCAGTTTTCACTTCACAGGTCCCTGTGTCTCCTGGATTTCCTATAAATTGGTATTAGGTTAAACCATATGGAATTGCTGATGTTCAGCCATTTTTGATCTACAAACATAGGTTTCACATGGATCTCAAGGCTTAATTCGTTTCAAGTTTAGGTTTGATTTTATTTTTTTTCAAAGACTGCTTCCTGGGTGATGTCAGAAGGCTCATTATGCTGGTTGTCTCTCTGTGATGTTACAGCCACAGCACAGTGCCTGGAACAGCACCAGCTCACAGAAATGCAAGCCACATGTGTGATTTTAAATTTTCTAATGGCTACATTAAGAAAGGGAAAGAGCCTGGCCAGTGTGGCTCAGTGGTTGAGCATCAACCTATGAACCAAGAGGTCACAGTTGGATTCCTGGTCAGGGCACATGCCAGGGTTGCAGGCTCGATCCCCAGTTGGGGCATGCAGGAGGCAGCCAGTCAATGATTCTCTTTCATCATTGATGTTTCTATCTCTCCCTCTCCCTTCCTCTCTGAAATAAAGAAAATTACATGTATAAATATGTGTGTATGTATATATATATACACACACACACACACACACATATATATGTCTGTATATATATATATATATATATATATATATATATATATATATATATATATATATGTATGAAAGAGAAACAAGTGAAATTTTAATAATATACTTTATTTAGCCCAATGTATCTAAAATGTTATGGTTTCACATATAATAAATACAAGAAACACTTGTTAAAGGAATATACCTTTTTCCCCCATACTAAATCTATGAAATCCAGTATGTATTTTATATTTACAGCACATCTCAATCCAAGGGCTGAATTTTCATCAGAAATACTTCACCTGTCTTTAGACTTCATAAAATATTGAGAAAGCAGATTTTACACCCAGGTTGTTCCATGCATGCTTCATTGTTTCTAATGACCAAATTTGCATATTCGCCTTTAAAAGTAAATTTAAATTGCAGTTAAATAAATAAAGGTAAAGCTCTCCAGTTCCTGGTTGTACAAGCCACATTTCAAGTGCTCAGTTGCCACATGTGGCTGATGGCCACCAGAGTGGACACTCAGGCCTAGGTTCTTAGTGAGGGCAGCCGCTCTCAAACCTGAATGTGTATCAGGGGTACCTGGAGCACTTGTCCCTCCACAGTTAGATGTGCCTTACCCTCAAAGCTGCTAATTCAGGAAGGGCCCGGGAACATGCATTTCAAGATGCTTCCACTCAGTGTTGATGCTGCTAGTCTGGGAGCCACACTTGGAGAACCGCTGTGATACGAATACAAAATGGCGGCACTGCTTCTATGCTTCTAGAGGGAACTGCCCTTCTGTGAAGGGAACTGCTCAGGTGACCCGTGGAACCGTTTGCTTAGGGAAGTTTCTGTTTTGCAGGCTTTGAGCACAAGATCACAGTCCAGGCCTCTCCAACCTTGGACAAGCGGAAAGGATCCGATGGGACCAGCCCCCCCGCGAGCCCCAGCATCATCCCCCGGCTGAGGGCCATTCGCTGTGAGTATCTCCCAAGGCCCTGACCAACCCATCAGTCAGCAGGCTTCTCTGAACACATTTTTTGCACCAAGCGGGGGATCAGCGGGGAACCAGACAGGCAGGGTCCCCTCCCTCGTTCTCCTGGGGGAGAAACACAATGAACACATCAGCAAGCAGACAGGATCACCTTTTTAGGGATAAGCACTATAAAGGAAACCAGGGAAGGGAATAAAAGAGAAGAGTTGCTGTTTTGTATCAGGAGGGCCTGTTTGAGGCGCTGGGTTTGAGCAGGGACCTAAGTGGTAAGAGCAAGAGAGACGTGCAGAGATCTGAGGAAGTGTCCCTGGCAGAGGGAACGGCAAAGGCAAAGTTCCAGAGGTGGGAACAAGCATGGCATGTGTGTCGGCCCAAAAGGCCAACTTGGCTGGAGTAGAACGATCGGGGTGCAGAGCAATAGGTCAGGGGTTCAACAGGGGCCAGATCACGCTGGGCCTTGAGAGCTGGATAAAGAACCTAGATTCCATTTTAAAGGTGACGGGGAGCTCTGGAGGGCTGTGAGCGGGCAGCAATGTGAAAAGACATACCTTTCCCTCTGGCTGCCGTGGGGATGTGGATGGTAAGAGGGCAGGAGTAAGGGCAGGAGACAAGTGAGGTGATGGGGGCTGACCCAGGGTAGGGCCTTGGAGGGAGAGATGGTCACAGTAGGGGCTGCCTGGCAGAGGTGCAGCTGCATGGGTTTGCTGATAAATTGGAGGATATAGGGCTGACTCCACTCTTGTTCTGCCCCATCATTCACCCCCAGCCTTGCCCCACACACTGCCTCCTGCACACCTGTTTGGGCACCAGCTTTGTACCAGGCCTGGAGGTCATTCTCATGGGAGACACAAAGACAAATAACAGCCATGCAGTGGAGTCAGTACTGGTATCAGGGTACCTTCAAAGTGTGGTAGGAACAGAGAAGACACAGCCTTCTGACTCTCCAGGGAACAAATTACTCCAGAGCTGGAGGCTTGAAGGGCATGCAGCCAACCACGTCAGGGAAGGGACTGAAAAGGCACAGAATTCCAGGTGAAGGAACAGCCTGTGCAAAGGCATGGAGGTGTGGAAGCACCCACCTGGGAACCTGTAGACATGGGGTCCCAACCACGGCACTTACACTCTCTGCCTGCATATCCCGACTCTAGCTCTCCTTCCCTCCCTCCCTCCGCACCAACCACACTGGCCTCCTGCTGTTCTGTGCACATTCCGCGCTGTCCAGGCTCAGGGCCTTGGCATTTGCCGTTCCCTCTGCCTGAAGTGCTCCTCTCCCTTGTATCTTCTTGACTCACTCACCACCTGGTCTTTGCCCAGTTCTCTCCTCCCACGGGAAGCCTTCCCCAGCCACCAGGCCCTGTCCTGCCTCATGTTTCCTGCAGCACTTGCCTCCTGCACAGATGACTTCCCTGGGAGAGTCGTGTTGATCCTGAGGCTGGGGTTCGTCTGCGCTGTCCACTTCTGTCTTTTCAGCACCTGCCACAGGTCTTGGCACAGAACAGGTGCTCAGTAAACATTTGAGAATGAGTGGATGGTTGAAGGGTTAGGCTGTGAGGAGTGATGGAAATGAGGCTGAGGAAGTCAGCTGGGAATGACATGAAGGGCCTTGAATGCTGACCGAGGAGCTGGGCTGTCGTCCTGGGCAGTGAGGAGCTGTGGAAGGATTTCGAGCAGAGAAGGGTCATGATGGGAGTTAGAATCCAAGATCCTTTGAGCTTCCAGGTGGAGGATGAATCCCAGGTGGGGACAGTGAAGCTGGGAACCCAGCGGGTCAGACTTTCCAAGACCCAGTAACCAAGTGGCTTTTCTCGGCCCAGTGACTCCTATGGATGGTGGTGGCGGCGGCAGCAGTGGCAGCGGTAGTAGCGGCAGTAGTACCTGGGGCCGCAGCGGGCCCCCAAAGAAGGAAGAACTGGTTGGGGGCAAGAAGAAAGGCCGGACCTGGGGGCCCAGCTCCACCCTGCAGAAGGAGCAGGCTGAAGGAGAAGAGAGGTATTGGTGGCTGGAGCCCACCCCGTGCCCTCCCCCCAGGCCCATGGCCACCAGAAGGCCCACCACCCGCCCCCAACTCTGTTTCCCCTGCAGGCTGAAGGCCCTGGGGGAAGGAAGCAAACAGTGGTCATCCAGCGCCCCCAACCTGGGCAAGTCCCCCAAACACACCCCCATTGCCCCAGGCTTCGCCAGCCTCAATGAGATGGGTAAGAGGATGAGGGTGCCTTCAAAAGGGAAGGGAGAGGACCTTCCCTGGCTGAAGGGGACACTGCCAAGACAGAGGGGTCACCATTCCCCAGGGTTTCGGGGTGGGCGGGGATTTCACTGGGCCAGAGTGCAGAAAGCATTCCCAGAAAGGGGACAGCCCGCCCCTGGGCTGTGGGCATCTCCCAGGGGCAGGGGCTTTAGGGGAAACAGAGCCGAAAGCCATGCTTAGAGGACTTGGGGGCTTGCTGTTTGAGGGATCGTGGGGGCAGCCCCTTGCCTCCAAGTCCCCAGGGACGCCTGGAGTCCAGTGCCCGCCCTCTCTGGTTGCAGAGGAGCTCGCGGAGGCAGAGGGAAACAGCAGCGGGCCCCACTCCCCCCACAGCACCCTGGCCTACCTCGAGGTGCCGCTGCCCACCCAGCCCTCCCCTGGGGTGCCGCTGCCCCCCACACCCACCCGACCCGCGCTTGGCGCCCGGCGGAGGCGCTGCGAATTTGCGCTGCTGGGCTGTGCCACGCTGCTGGGCGCGGTGGGCTTGGGCGCTGACGTGGCGGAAGCGCGCGCAGCGGATGGTGAGGAGCAGCGGAGATGGCTCGACGGCCTCTTCTTCCACCGCGCTGGCCGCTTCCCACGGGGCCTCAGCCCGCCTGCACGCTCCCCTGGACGCCCCAACGCAGCCTCCGCCGGCCCTGGCCTGGCGCCTTCGGCCACCCTGGTATCGCTGTCCTCCGTGTCCGACTGCAACTCCACGCGCTCACTGCTGCGCTCCGACAGCGACGAGGCTGCGCCAGCCGCACCCTCCCCGACGCCCTCTCCTGTTGCGCCCTCGCCCAACACCAACCCCCTGGTGGATCTGGAGCTGGAGAGTTTCAAGAAGGACCCCCGCCAGTCACTGACGCCCACCCACGTCACAGTCACTGCCACACGCGCTGTGAACCGCGGGCACCGGAGGACCCCCTCGGATGGGGCGCTAGGGCAGCGGGGGGCGCCAGAGCCCACAGGCCCTGGCCCTGGTGAGTGAGGCACCCTGTGCCCCGTGTGCAGAAAAGGGCCCTTCTTCCCTGCCCTTCCAAGGTCCGGTGTCCCAGCCCAGCCGCCACCCTGAGATGCCGAGGTGGCCGTCTCCTGCCCAGCAGGGGGGGAGGGCTGTGTCCCCCTGGCCCTCACTGCTAGAGGCACTGTGGGGCCCCGGGTGATTGTGACACAGGATGAAGCAGAGGTGACAAACTCTAATGCCCACAGGGGCCAAGCAGGTGACATTAATGATGGCAATACCTAGAGCTAACACAGAATTATAGCGAACAGCCATGCGCCAGGCCCTGTTCTCGGTGCCTTTGTTGAACCTACAAAGAGACCGAAACATAAAGGAGTTGGGTACCTTCTATCAGGCACTGAGCTAGTCTCACCATTGTTATTGGACCTACTCCTCACCCATGTGGGGAGGCGCTGTTAGCCCATCTAGAGATGCTATCCTGCCTCAGGCCTCCATAGCTCTGAGCTCTCTTTCTGACCTTAGCCCAGTGTAAGAGATCTGGGAAGGATGAGGGTTTTTTCTCCAGCAGATTTTTTGAGAAAAGTCAGAAATTCTAATTTTCATGTCAATGCTCCTGGCTTTTCAATACCACCCTCGGCTCCACCTCACTCACCTCCTCTGATCCTCTCTTACCAGGCCCTCGAGATCCCCTGGACTTCCCCCACCTGCCTACACCCCAGGCTCCATTTCCCACCCACCTCCAGCCCCCCGAGTTTCCTGGCCGCCCCACCACCCTGACCTTCACTCCGAGACCCCGGCCTGCTGCCAGCCGCCCCTGCCTGGACCCCTGGAAACGGGTCTCCTTCGGCCGGACACTCAGCATCTCGCCGCCCAATAGGCTGGACGCTCCAGAGAGCCCCGGGCCCCCCAGCATGCAGCCCACGCTGCTTGACATGGACATGGAGGGGCAGAGCCAGGACGGCACAGTGCCCCTGTGTGGGGCCCGTGGCTCCCGCTGAGGCCTGCCCACTGCCACCCGCTTGGGCAGCCATGAATGTAGCACCCCAGGCCCTGCCCCAGCCCACCAGGCAGGGAGGCCCTGGGCAGGATACTCTATTTATTGGGGAAGGGGAGTGGGGAGAACACTTAATTTATTCCTTTGTACCCTGTGCTTGCCCTGCAGCATGGGGGGAAGGTGGGCAGGGATACTCAGGGACAGGGCAATGTGGGGGATTTGGCACAAAATGCAGCATTAAAGGTAACCCCTGCCCCCTGCCATGCTTGCTGTGTATCTTTCCCTAATCCTGGCTCATCCCCTAGGGTTTCCCCCACCCTTGCTTCCTCCTGGGCCCCTCTGGATTTCTGAGGTCCAGAGGGTGAAGCCCAGGCCTGTCCCCTCCCTGGTTCCCACAAGAACATCACACAAAGAGGTTATGATAAGTGCTTTACTAGCCAACACACGAGTCAGGGAAGTTACACAGTGAGATGGGAGAGAGTGGGGGTAGGGACAGTCCCCATAGGCTGGCCTCAGCCAATGACATCCCGAGGCTGGGCCCCACTGTCTTCCCTCTGCAGGCTGCACCGGCTCATCTTCAGCTGGGTCAACTGGATGTAGCGCAGGACATTGGTGTCTGCAGGGAGGGTGGGCAGGGCATTATCTGGGTGTCCTGGGTGACGTCTGCAGCACCTCAGTTCACACCTCACTGTCCCCAGCCTTCCGTGGCTCCCCAGCTGGTATTGCCAGACCCCTTCTTCAAAAGCCCGAGACCCAACAAGGGAGGGGGCATGTCACACCTCCAGAGTAGCACTTGCTATTCCCCTGCCAGGACTGCTCTGCTCAGACTCCTGTTACACTCTACTTACCTCCAGTGACATCTGCAAAGCCCGTTCTCCAACCACGTACCAGCTCCACTCCCACAGCCCGTATCATGCAGGCTGTGCTCCTCTTCATTGGCTCTTAATACAGAATCTCCTATTGTGTCTGTCTACACACCAACACACCCCAGAGGGCAAGGAACCAGTCTCCAGCTCTGCCATCCCCTGTCCCACCCCCAGCAAATGTCCTGCCATTTCCCACCCGGGGGTCTAACTCCCAGCAAGTGCTTCACACGTGGTGGCTGGGAGAACAGGTGGATGTGGGAGTGGGTGAGTGAGGGAGTGGGTGAATGAATGTGTGTTGCTGGGGAGGGGCATGGAGTGAGTGCATAGGGAATGGGCTAAATGGGAAGCATCAAAATGAGTCAATAAATAGATGAGAGGTGGTTGGGTGAATATCCAGGAAGCATGGGTGGGTGGATGAGTGGGGGAGTAGGAGGAGGTGGAGGTGGGGTGTGTGGTCCAGCACTCCCTGAAGTAGCTGTGCCCTGGCCTTCCTGCCCTTGTTTGCTCTGTTCCAGCCCCTCCCCCTGCTCCGCCCAGCCCCCACCCCGCTCACCTGTGGGCTCCCGGTTTCGGGCCTCCTGCAGGTAGCGCAATGCGTGCGCGTAGTCACCCAGATGGTAGAAGGCAATGCCAGCGCGGTAGGTGGCCTTGAAGTTGCCCTGCTGCTTCTCCAGCACCTTGAGACAGTACTCGCGCACCCGCTCATAATTCACCAGCTCCGACTGCAGCAGGCAGGCTGCGGGGCACCGGGACCCGCGCTCTCAGAGCCTGCCGGCAACCCCAGACTTCACATGACCGCGAGGAGCATGGATTCCAGGCTGCGAGGGAATCCCCACCCTTTCCCACGGCTGAGCCGGGCCTAAGGGCTTTTTCAGGCCACCAGGGGCTGCCGAGCCTCCGACCAATCAGAATGGGATCAATCTGCACTGCCGCTAGAGGGTGTGAAAACAGACTAGCGCTCGGGCTATTTTCGCAGTGGGGAGGGTGGGGGATAGTACTGAGGCGACCTCAGGCGGGGGATGAGGCTTTCAATGGAGCACCCAGGGCAAGGCTTTCTCACCTGAGGTTCGCGGTGGCAGCCCAAAGCCCGTTTCCGGCATCCCAGCGCCTCCCGTCCCCGTGGTCCCTCCTTCCCCGAGCCCTCTCTTTGGTAAGTTCTGATGTCTCCCCCACAGACCCCAGCGCTGGTCCCTTCAAGCCTCCGCTCGCCCCTCCCCGCCCAAGGCCTCAGGATTGCCCCTCACTCCCACCCCGTCGCACCAGCACCCTCTGCGCTCCCGACGGCCGGCCGCATACCCGTGAGAGAGTCATAACACTCCACCTCCGTGTTCTCCACCAGGCGCCGCTGCTCCTCGCTGAGGCGGGCCGGCCCGGGGCCGGCGGCGGGCCCGGGGGCGGGGGCGGGCAGGCCTCCAGCGCGGGACCCCTGCGCCGCCTTCAGCTGCAGCAGCGCCCGATGATACTTGCCAATGGCTTCCCGGAACTTCTTCTCTCGGTAACAGCGCTGACCCTCCGTCTTGAACGCCACAGCGGCCCGAAGGCTGCTATCGAGCGCCGCGCCCAGGCCCCCCGACGATTCCGGGGCAGGACCAGGCCGAGCGGAGCCATGGCGGGGACCCGGGCCCGGCGGGGAGAGTGCGGGAGGCGGGCGCGGTGGAGGCTCCGGGGCTGCGCTGAGCATCAGCACCGGGGACAGCGCGCCGCGCTGCATTGTGGGAAACTCCTGGAGGCCGCTGCTGCAGCTATCTCGCTGCGTCCGCGCCTGTCCCCACCCTTTCTCCGCCCCTTCAACTCCGGTAGCCGACTCCGGCTGCCCCCTATGGGTCTAGAGAAACCCCTCAAGACTTCCCCACTCTTTTCTTCAAATCAGCCCCAGCCCTCATTCTCCAGCCCACCTTTTCCTCCTTTCCACTCCCCCGACTCCCCCACCCTTCTGCCTGCTCTCCTTCCTCGTACCCAAAGCTTTCTAGAAGGAAAGGAAAAGTCTGGGGAAAAGAACAGGAAGATTTCAACCTCGTGAAAAGCTGGTTTTCAGCCCACTGGGCATTCGGCATGTTGGATAAGGATACAGGCTTTAGGATACAGGCTTTGGAATCAAGCTGCCCAGATCAATTCCCTGGGTTTTTCCTCACTAGTTACATATGACTTGGACAAATCACCTACATTACCTGGAATTCTATATCCTCCTCAGTAACATGGAAGGGACAATGGTAGCAACTTTGAAACTCATTGGTTTATCTATGCAACAAACAACTATTCACTGATATCTTTTCTGTGCCAAGCTTTGGGTTGGGTGATGCTGGGATATAGCAGGGAAGGAGGGAGCTTCGGGCCCTATCCTCATGGAGCCCCTAGTCCCGTGAGGAGACAAACCAGTAGCCAGTGACAGCCCAGAGTGGGCTAGCCTGGGAAGCTCAGGCAAAGTGGTCAGGGCAGGATGGGGGAGGTACAGGCCGAGGGTCCAAGCCCCAGATGGAGGACACGCAACAGGCTCTGAGGGCCCAGAGGAGGTGTCTGCCCTAGACTGTAGTGGTGAGTGAAGAAAATGTTTGTTATGAATCAATGGATCTCCTAGAGGAGGGGATAACTATGAACAAGAGAGATCTGCTTCTTGACTTCATCGAGCTCACTGAGTAGAAAAACCAGTGGGAATGCAGGTGACAGCCCAGAGTGAGTGGTGCAATCGTAAGAGTGAACAGAAAATAAAACATGTGAGAGCCTTTGGAAGAAAAACTGAGACTGAAAGAGAGGGTTGTCCTTCCGCTCTCCTTAGCCACTGACTTAGCAGTGGGACCTTGGGCAGGCTCCTCGCTCTGCCTCCAGCTTGCCTTCCATCTGTGCAGCATGGGAATTACACGTGAGCTTGCTTCAGAGGAGCTGCCGGGACTGGGTTATGTTATGCAGACAAAGCACTTAGCACAGGGCCTGGTACATACTGGGCAATTAACACCCTGTGTTTCTTATCATCGGTGAGACTAGGAGACAGGTGGGCATAAGTGTCTGGCTCTGAGTCAGCATCCATATATGGTTGTTGAATGAATGAAAACTTTATGTATTACACCCCCCACCGCCACAAGACCCTAGCTGGGGTCTCAGCCCCAAGAACCAAGCTTGTGTTTCCATTGTCCCTTTCCCCTCCTATCCCACATCTCCCCAGGAGGTCCCATGGCAGGCCCCACACCACATTCCCAAACCAAACAAGGCACCTTCCATTCCAACAGCAGCATCTGCTTTTATCTCTTATTGTACTTTGCTGAGTGAGGTTCTCCCCCATCCTGTCCAACCTTGAACATCTTAGGACAGAAACTTCCTCTTACCTGCACCTTCAAAACCTGGCTTGGTTAAGAATCTAATATTCCTGCGGTTGAATTCCAGAGCAGTGAGGTCATCTTTCTGTGCCTCCAGTGTGTTTTGTTTTAATTAAAAACATGGAGATCCATTGATTCATAACAAATATTTTCTGAGCACCTACTAAATGGCTAGGTGCCAGGAGTTTGGTAGAAACAGGACCACTGCCGCTAACTCACCGTCCTGCAAGGATGCAATGCTGGCACTTTCACAGCACCTACTAGGTGCCAAGCAATGTCCTAAAACTTTGTGAATATATTACTTACAATCTGAATACACCACAATGAAGTTAAGTAAATCAGATCCCATTTATCAAACAATTGCTATCAAAGACCCATAAAGCCACAAACAGATGACCCTCGCAGGCGATGTGTTGGGCTTGTGCAACCATTTAAAAATATTGAATTCGTTGCCAACATAGGAAAGCAGAGATGTTTAAGGAATTGCAGATTTTCCGCTTCACTTGAACAAAATCTGAAAACCTGGTAACATCTAGGTAGAATTCATGACTGGGGCAGACAGTCTCCGTTTCCCATAGCCCATCCCTCCTAGATTCTTCCCGACTCTGAGTCTGAGGGCCATTCAGGTTGCACTGGAATTTTCCTCTTAGCCTCTCTACCTACTTCCCGCAAATGTTTGCGCTTGGGCCGTCCGGGCGGAAGCCCGCCAGTGCCCCCTCGCGGAGGAATTCGTAATGTTCATCATTAAGGAAGTTAGTGAGAACATCCCACCCCAGGGATGAGGCCCGGAAAGTAACCAATCAAAAGCAAGAGATGGACCAGAATTTGACCAGTAAGGACAGAGAGAGCTCGGAATAAAAGAAACTCTTTTATTGAAGTCGGAAACGGACACACACTGAGACTTTTTTGAAGGGGTGTCGGGGCTCAGGGGGGCCCCGGCTGGGGACAGCGGAGCAGGCGGGCGGCGAAGAGGCTGGTGCCCCGACGCTGGGGCCTCGCATACTTGAGGAAGATGGCAGCACGGCCAGGTGCGGGGCCTCGGAGCACCGCGCGGGCCATGCACGGCTCCAGCGGGCCCAACTCCGCCGGGCTGCGAGGAAAGGGAGAAACTAAAGGTGGATGCAAGGGGTGGCGGTGGAGATGACCTGTCCTTGGAGCTGGGGCTCGAGGCCGAGAGACACGTTGACTTGGGTCCCGGAAACAACCCAGGGCACGTTGCCCATGTCTAGACTAGAAAGTGACTGGAGGGGCCGGCAGACCCTCGATTCTCCCCACAGGGCGCCAGGCAGGGCGCTCGAAGAGGGAAGGACTGGGGCTGAAGATGGACTGGCATCCAGCTCTACCCCGTGGGCACGGCTGGGAGCAAAGACAATTCGCCCAGCCCCTTGGGGGCATGGTTAACAGGGATAGGGGCTCTAGCAGCTAAAGGGACACCCCGTTTATTAGGGGCTAGCAGACTCTCATTCTCAGCAGTCCATCTTCCCGGGCTTGAGAGAGCCTATATTCCGCCCTGGACAAGATTAAAGGGTCCCCCAAATCTGGACAATACCCCCACTCTCTCAGACCCGCCCAGAGAAAAGCCAATGGGATACCCCAAGGCCAGGCAAATACCCCATTCTCTCTTATGCCCAGAAAAATCAAGTCTAGGTGTCATCGTGCCCTCCCCCCCCCAACAATTGTTTCTCACTCTCTGAGACAGTACAGACAAGGACCAGGAAGGCAGATCCTGAAGCCGCCCCCCGGGGGGTGGGGGTCCCTCTGTGGCCATACCTGTAAAGTGCCGGCTCCAACCCAGAGCCCGCCACGTGGAGCACACGGCGCGCCAGGCTCAGCGCCGCCGCTGCGCAGCGACTGGGCTCCCACCCAGCGGTCTCGACCTCCAGTAGAGACAGTTCCAGGAAGTAGGCTGCGAGGAGCATCACCTGCCAAAGCATCACCGGCCAGACCATCAGGCCACGCGTCTGTACCGCACAGGCCACGCCCCTCGCCGCGCAGGCCAAGCCACTGCCCCTCCCCTCGCACCTGGGGGTTGCTTCCTGCCAGAGCAGCCAGTAGCTCCAGGCAGAGGAGTGGACCCGGGTGGTGCAGTCGGAAATCCAAGCGGCTCAGGATGCGGCGCTCGGCTCGCAGAAGCTCGGCCTGGGAGAAGGAGCCAGCGCCCAGGAGGCAGAGGGAGGCGGGCTGCAGATTGGGGAGAAAGACCTTGGCTGTTACTCCCTGCCCTGGGTTCGGGTCTGTCCACGTTCTGGACCTCAGTTTTCTGGTCTGTAAAATGGGACCATTGATTTGTTGTGTGGAAGTCTTGGGGAATATAGGCTTCAGAGTCAGAGAAACCTGGATTCGAGTTCAAACCCTACCACTCCGCACTGTGTGACATGGACATCCAGGGCACGGAGACGCCAAATCTGTAAAACGGAGACATTGCTCCTACTTCACCAGGCGGTTCTGATAATGCACTGAGTTTACACATGTTAACTGTAACCACTCGTCAAGGATTATAACTACTGTAACTAAGTCCAAGTCCCAACTACTTGACTTTGGGCAAATGTCTTCCTCTCTCTGGGCTTTAGTCTCCTCCAATGTTAAAAGGACACATTGGCAGCCCCGACCTCATCAGATCTGCTGGGATTCCAAGACGATATGAAGTGTTTGCGGGGCATGGTGCTTGGCACACAGTAGGGCGTTTAACCTGTGACTGCTGCCAGGACAAAGAGCTGCCCTCTCCTGGCCCCGCCCCGGAAGTACCTCGGGAAGCACGCACTCTTCCATTTTGCACGCCACGAACAGGCAGGCCATGCCCAGCAGCTGCAGGCGGTGTAGGCGCACCCGGCTGCAGCGCAGGTAGGAATCGAGCAGGTGCACAGCCAGGTAGAGCGTGTCCCCCGCCAGCCCAGGTACTCCTGGGGAGGGGCGCAGGTTACAATCAGCTGCCACGCGGCCCAACCCCACCCCCTTCTTGATACCTACGTACGTGCACCTGGACCAGCCAGTCCACCACTAGTGCTCGCATCTCTGGGGTCACGGTGCTGGGCAGGGCCATCTGGGGCAGCGCAGGGCACACCTGGGGTTAGGTAGGATGGGCTAACTCTCCCACACCTTGTGCCTCAGCCGCTCTCCTAACCGCCAGCCCTGGGTGCGGCAGCCTCCTCGCCCGTTGGGGGCAGCATGAGTGCCGCAAGAAACTGGCCTCCAGCGTCTCCCGATGTGCTCCTCTTCCAGAACCATCTAGAACCATCTAGAACCCCTCCTGATGTTTCCCTACCCACCCTCCCAGTCGTCAGCCCCCATGCCACAGGACCTCCTGAGCATCTCCCCCTGCGTCCCCAGGCAAATCCATCCTCCTCACAACACCGGTTTTCTAAAGTAGAAATCTGACCAAGGAACTCCCAGCTTAAAACACTTCCTCGGCTTCCCGGACCCCCCGGAGAAAATCTAATTCCTCTCAACTCTCCCAGGCCCTGTCCTTGCTCCAACATCACCTCTTCCCTCTCTCTCCTCACACCCCAGCTGCCCCAGCCTTCTTTTGGGCCTAGGCTGTGCCAACCGTATCCCTACCTCAGTACCTATGCATATATGTACTATTCCCTCCACCTGAAGTGGTCCATCCCCAGCTTCTTGCATTGCTGACTTCTAGTCATTCATGTCTCAGCTAAACCGTCCCTGACTCTCCATACTTTTCCCTATCACATCACTTTATTTCCCTGATATTATTTCCACTCTGGAGATGGCTGTTTCATTGTGTATTTTGTTTGTCCAACGAGGCTGCAGGCACCACAAGGACAGGGATTTCTGTCCAAATCCCAGCTGTATCTCAGCTCCTAACAGAGACCCTGGCCCAGAAGAGATGTTCACAAGATGTGTGTTAAATTAATTCATCCCTTGAGTGTTTCTTCTGACAGCGTCTGTCGCAGCCTGTGTTTGGGCTTTATGGCCCTTCTGACGTTATCACCTACACTTGCTTGCTTGCCTTCCACAATGAAGACAGACTGTGCGCTGTTTGTCCCCAATGCCTAGAGCATGCTCCACAACATCTGTTACATTTACTTTGAAACTCTGTAATTTTTGTAAGGCACAGGGAGGATAGAAAAAAACATTTGTTGATAAATTGCTAAATATTTGTTAAACGAATAAGTGTGAGGGATGAGTAAGAGGGGTCTGAAGTACCAAAGGAGGAAATGCAAACGGCCTGGGAGGGTGGGAACAGTCATTCAAAGATAACTGTGCAGGAACTGGGGTGGGGTTGGGAAGGGGCAGACAGGCTGGCGGGGGGGGGGGGGGGGTGTCAGAAATGCCCATCACAGGAGCTCTAGGCGAGTCCGGCAGCTCTGGCCTGGGCCAACACACCCCCTGGGCTGTCCTCGGGGCTGGGGGGCTCCCAGGGAGTCTCCCCGTCCGCCTCACCATGACCTCGGCGAAGATGTCCCTCGCGTACTCGCGTTCTCCCTGCAGCCCCAGCGCGCCCAGCGCCTCCTCCAGCCCCGGCGGCGCGCACCGTCCCGGGGGCCTTTCCGGGGGACCTGGGGAGGCGCTCGTGCCCGCGGGGACGTTGTCCGGGACTGGGGCGCTCGCAGGCTCTGGGCCAAGGGCGGCTGCCGGACTCTGCAGGGGAGGATTGGGTCAGCGCCTGGAGCGTCCCGCTGGGAGGGGACCCAGGCTCCCGTAGCTCACCAGCATCTTTTAGGCTGGCGTCGAGGGCGAAACCAAGAGCCCGCCTCTTCCTACTGGAGCGAGGATCCGTGACCGCCGGCGCTTAAACAAGGCTGGGCGCATGCGCGCTGAGTAAGCTTCACCTGGGCAGGTGGGCAGGTGGGCAGGTGCGTGGTCAAGGGCGAATACGACTACTGCTCTAAGGCCAGGCAGCTGGAGCCAAGCTCTCATCCTCCACTTACCACGTGGCGAGGAGCAGTCCCTTGGAGCCTCACGATCTTCAGCTATGAAGTAGGGATTGTTTCAATTGAGAGTCGTCCCGAGGATTTTATAAGATTGTGTGTTAAGTGGCCAGCTCGGGGCTTAACAGAATCAAAGCTTCGTACATAGGAGCTACAAGTCGCTTCACAACCATTTAGAGAAGGCCTCTGTGCTCTGGCAGTGGGAACTCGGGTGAGCAAATCCCCTTGCGGCCGCCTTAGGCCCAGAGCGCGGGTGATGGGGAGAAGTCGCCAGCGATGGGCTGGCCTGTAGTGCGGCAGCTCCTCGCTGCCCTCCCTGTGCCCGGACATGCACAGGGGTCCTGTGCACACCTCGTCAGTCAGGTCTCACTTGGCCTCTGCTCAGAACTCCATTGCAGCTCCCATCCCCCTCAAAGTGAAAGTCCATGCGGTTCTACATTATCTTCCCACAGGTGAGCGTACACCTGTGAGCTCACCTCCTAACCCAACCTCCCTCATTCCTCCCTCTCCCGCCACACTGGCCTCCTGGCTCATCCTCTGGCTCATCCTCAGCCTCACCTCGGCCTTTGCGCTGGCTGTTACTCTGCCTGAAGTTCTCTTACCTCGGATGCCCCTCACTCCCTTTAAGGCAGTGGTTCTCAACCTTCTGGCCCTTTAAATACAGTTCCTCATGTTGTGACCCAACCATAAAATTATTTTCGTTGCTACTTCTTAACTGTAATGTTGCTACTGTTATGAATCGTAATGTAAATATCTGATATGCAGGATGGTCTTAGGCGACCCCTGTGAAAGGGTCGTTTGACCGCCAAAGGGGTCGCGACCCACAGGTTGAGAACCGCTGCTTTAAGGTGTTTACTCAGATGTCACCCTCTCCATGAAAAGCATCGTCCTGAACACTTCTTTCCCCATCTCTATACTTACTCTCTCCTCAGCACGAACTGCCTCACTGTCTCCCTCCTCACTAGAACGTGAACCCATGAGCGCAGGGCGGGTCTGTTTTCATCGCTGTTCCCAGTGCCTAGAACACAGCTGGGCACAGAGTACTCAGTAAATATCTGTTATGAGTGAGTGGAAAGGCTGGGTTTGTAATTTAGCGATAGCTGTCTGGAAGGACCTCTTTGAGGTGACGTTGGAGCTGAAACCTGGAAGGAGGAGGAGCCAGGAAAGCAAAGACAGGGGAGCTACCCCACGTGGAGGGAACAGCCTGAGCAGAGGCCCTGCGGTAGGAAAGAGCTTGCTACTTGGAGGCATTGAGAAGTCAGAGAGGCTGGCAACGCAAGCAGATAGAAGCGTGAGATGCTGGACCAATGGCTTCCTGTCAAACATGCAGTAAACCCAGCGCCTTCACCACAAGATCCCGCTGTTACCTCTCTAACCTCATTTCCTTCTGCCCTCCATCTCCTTCACTCCACCTGAGACACCTTGTCCTCGTTGTGGTTCTGAAACACATCAGGCACCTGCCTGGCTCAGGGCGTCTGTGCGCTTGTGGTGAGAACCTGCATATTTACATTCCCCGTGTGTCTCTATACAAGACACTAACTACAAAGAGGACGTTGTAACTTGATAGTGGAGACACCTGACAAACGCCACCTTAACCACGGGATTCGTCACCACCACTAATGGGATGTTCAGATTCCTCCTGGTAAGTTGCACTGAGAAGGGCACATCATTTCTGGGAATTCCTGTCAAAAATAGCTTGAATACAGCCACAAGGAAACAGGCAGTGATCCCTCACTGAGGGACATTCTGCAGAATAACTGCCCGTAAGCTTCAAACCTGACAACTGGACTCAGCAGCGAGCCCGGACTGAGTCACCAGCCAGGAAACTGTTTCCTTTTTGGTGCACAAGGACATTAGTGTGACCACCACAAAATCTGATTAAGGTCTGAGGAGAACATTGTTTCACTGTTAACTTCCTGACCTTGATCACCGGATTGTGGTGAAGACAAAGTTCTCATTATAGGACAGATATGTAAATGTGGGGGGGGCAGAGTAAATGTAAAACACTGTGGGGAATCGCGTGAAGGGGAGACGAGAATTACTTGTACTTTTTAAAATAAAAAAAAATAGATTTATGAAAAGTGGCAGACACAGTAGAGTTCCCAAGTATCCCGCACCCAATTTCCCCTATTAATGCCTTATACATCATTGGTGTGGTAATTTGTCACAATTCAATGAGCCATAGAAATGTTATTCAGATTTCCCATTTACCTAATGTCCTTTCTCTGTTCCGGGACCTCATTCAGGATACATTACACTTAGTCTCCTTGTCTCCTAAAGCTTTTCTTGGCTGTTCTCAGGCTTTTCTTGTTTTGAACCTCGACAGCGTTGAGAACTAGCGGCCAGGTCTTTTGTAAAACATCCCTCAGCTGGGATTTGCCCGATGTTTTCTTTTAGACTGGGGCATCTGTTCCAGAGAGGAAGGCCACAGAGACAGGGTACCATTCTCACTGCATATCAGACTCTGCCAACATGACTCGTCACTGCTGATGCTGACTCATCACCGGCTGCTGTGGTCGTCAGTCTGCCCCTCCTCTACTGTCCTCTTTGGAAGGAAGCCACTTGGCAGCCACACCGAAGGAGGGGATATGCTTCCCTGAAGGCAGAGCATCTACGGAAACTATTGGACTTCTGTACAGGGATGTCTGTTCTCACCATTTTGGGTATAACCAATACTGCACTGTTTTATTGCTCAAATTGGTGCTCAAATTGCGTTCAGCTTTGGCCACTAGAGGCTCTTCCCATGGGCTCCTGTGTCCCTTTTCATGCCATTAGTGAGGTTTCTTTTCTTCTAGGTCCTTAATTCTGGACACGACTGGATGCTGCAGGTTCATCTTGTGTATTTCCTGCTCTAATCCTAGAATCACTTTAGCACTATTTTTTAAAGTTTCAAAGTTTTCTACGGGTCTGAAATTATTTCTAATCAACGTCAAAAATATGCGAATCAGACTTTTTTGGAAAGCTATCTGACACATATCAAAATGCAGCGACCCTGGAATGTAGGCCACAGAAATACAAGCACAAGCACAGTGAGAGGGGACTGTTACCGTTACTTCAGTGCTGTGGGTAGCAGCAAAAAGCAAACAGAAAACCTGGAAACAAGTAAATCCTTGTCCACAGGGGTGGCAGCATCAGCTGAGGTGTGTCCACCCTGAAGAACCTTGTGAAGCAACTGGGAAGCATCACAGCAATGTCCACAGGAGTTCCTCCAAATGAAGGGACTAAAAAAGACCTAATTTTCACCGGTGACCCCACACGGCCTCTGAACGCACACACGGTGGTGGGAGTGCGGGTTCCATGTGGCAGCACACAGCCCAGGGGCGTGGCCTGGTTACCTGGGAGGAGAGGTGTACAGAAAAGGAGGAGCCAGCCCTTCGCGATGCCACGCCCATCTGTGCAGGAGGGAATGAGACCCACAGTCAGGGCCCCAGGTCTGGGATCGGGTGACTCACTTCCTTCTGCACACTTTGGTTTTGTTGCATTTTTCTTTATACACACACACAAAACTTGTGACATTTTCTACATGCACATGACAAAAAACAGATGACTCAAAATTTAATTTTTCTAATTGTTAAAATTTTATTAAAATTCTTTCACCTAAAATTCCCAGTTTGGGAGAAGTCCTACAGGAATAAGAACATCTAAGGACATTAAGTTCAACGGAGGAAGCAGCTGGTTAACCTACAAGAGTCCGTCCAAGGACTGTGACAGGTCCCCAGGGACAGACCACACGGAGAGCTGAGCGAGTTCCTGAAAGGACTCTCTAGCACCGGCCCCTCAGACTGTGACTAGAGGGGAGAAGAAAAGGCTTTTCTTCATAAGCCTGTTTATCTGATTACCACCAAGGCATACTTTTATGATTTAAAAAATGTCCATAAGAAATAAGGAAAAAATCCAAAAAATTCCTCGAGTCTTGGTTGCAGGTAACAGACTTCCTGGACTCAACTTTTCTGCTACCCTCACTTAAGATCTCAAAAACTCCCTGTGTGGGAAGCCCTAATAGCTTCTGGCAAAATCGGATTGAAGTTCGCCTGTGCGCAGCATGGCAGCCCTGGCCCCAAGGTCTGGGAAGAGTGACTCAAGCATGGGAACCAGCTGTCAGAGGACTCCCAGACGGAGGGGCTGTGACCCAATCTGAGGTGCTCCCAGCTGACAGCCACCACAAATCCCGTTATACCAAGGAATCTGTGGGGGAACTAGGGGCCTCGAGGCTCCCCAGTTTAGCATCAATGGAGGCTGGGGGATGCAGATGCACGGGCAATGCCTGCTCTAGGGCTCAAGCACCTCGGGAAGTGAACATGCTCCCCCTCACACTCCTGACAGGGCTCAGTGACCCCTCACGCATCCTCCTTGTTCAGAGCCACCTGGCCCTCCCCCGCTTTCTGCCTAAGCAGTTTCCGAGCGCCTGGGATGACCTCTGTCCACCCCCCCCCCCCAACCACAGGCCCCGTTTCCTAAACTCAACAGCTTCCCTCCCAGCAGTCCCCTCCCTCTCCAGCCTGAGCTTGACACCACCTCCCCCCAGGACGCCTTCTCTGCCTGCACAACTTAAAAGGGCCCTACCTAACAGCAGTGGGAGCAGGAGGCAGCTGGCACTTGGGGCCACTCCGTAAGCAAGGAAAGGCCCAGGGTGGTGGGCCCGGTCTGAAAGAGTCTTTATTGCTTGTACCGTACAAATATGAGGAACAGGGAAAGGCCAGTGGGGAAGAGGGAGAACTGTCAGATAAATGACATACACACACAAAAAGAAGAGACCTCCCACCCCCCAAACCAGCCCCACCCACCCCAGATGTCTCTCGGTGAACTACCTAGTACAGGAGGTGGGAAGATCAAAACCACAAAAGTTACATTCCAAACACCCGGAGATGTTGGTGGGGAAGGGGGAGAGACAGGGCAGCAAGTGTGGCTCTCACACTAGGCCAGCCACCCTCCCCCTGGGAAGAAATGCTGGGGTCAGGGCCAGGGGCCCGAGTCCACACACATACGCACACACACCACACACTTGAGGCCGGGACACGCTTGCTCTCACACATACATACCCAGCACACATGCACACACACACCCCATGTGCACTGTCTCAGATGCACAAGGACACCAACAGCACACAATCCAAGGCACGCACGCACACGAGTGCCCATAGCACTGACACGTTCACCTTAAGGCTGCAGAACGTGGGGCTGGGGAGGGGGGTGGCCTGGAGCCTCCTTCTCAGAGGCCCCCACCCCAGTACGTACCAGAGACACCCATCCCTGCCCCCTCCTCAACCAAGTTCATGGGGCCCAATACTGTCTCGGTGCGAGATGTGTAACAGCCGAGGCTGGCACCCCTCCACCCCAGGCAGAGAGAAGGGGCAATCCTGGCCCCCATTCTGGGAGGGGCCAGGCCCAGGTCCAGCAGGAGGTAAGGCTGGCTGGAAGGAAGCCCTGGTAAGGCACGGGGCTTGGGGTGGGAAGGCTAGGCCCCACATGTTCCTCCTACTTCGTCCACAGGGTCAGGAGAGCAGCGTGGGGCACAGGGAGGCAGCGTCCATCCCCTTGGCCGCTCTGGGTTCCCCTCCAGGTCATCGACCCCAGCCCGAGGGAGCCCTGGACCTCTGCTCCTGCAGCTCCCAAAGGCCCCCGCCTGGGCCTGGACATTACTGCTTTTCTGCTGCTGGGTGGGGAGGGGGCTGGGCTGTCCCCTCGCCAGGCCACTCGGAGCCTAATGACAGGCATGGAAGGCAGCCCAGAGCGCTGTCCGCACCTCTGAGGGTGGCACAGCACAGAGCAGGCAGCCCCCCCGGCTTTCGCTCCTCACTGGGGCTTGTGTTGATCAAAACCCAAGATCTTCCCAACTGCCCAAAGGCCAGGTCCCGGGACAGCGGCAGAGTCTCCCCAGTCCTGATCTGGGCGCAAAAGTGAGGGCAGGACAGGATCCTGGAGGCAGGGCCACTGGGTCCACTGAGAGGAGGCTGGCAGAGGGCTGAAAACTAGAAATGGGGGTAAGGGGTGAGGGATGGAGAGGCAAACAAAAAAGACCAAAAAAACAAAAAGACAAAGCCCCCCCTGCCCCAGCGGCAACGGCAGCCATGCATGTCCGTGGTGGTGGTGGTGGGGGCGGCGGCGGCGGCGGCGGGCAGGCGGGCGGCACTGCTCACTCGCGGATGCTGGCCGAGTAGGAGAACTGGGGGAAGTGAGTCCGCTGGTCCATGTCCAGAGAGCCCAGGCTGTCATCTGCAGGGGTCAGTGGAGGTGGATTGGGAAGACAGGCTTTCAGAGGGCCCAGCACCCCGGCCAGACTCCCGGGGAGGGGGACAGAGGGGAATCAACCTCAGGAAGGACTACAGGCAGAAACTCCAGCTGGTGAGGTGTCCACCAGACTTCCTCCCTGACAGACACCCTTTGGTCATAGCCCTGGCTCCAGGGTCTCGGAGCTGCTCACTCAGCCACCTCAGCATCCCACCAGCTCCCTGCACTCCTCCTCCCCCTCCCCTTCCACACCTCAGTCTACCTCGACGTCTGCCCACACTTCTTTTAGCAGCTCCTGCCCTGGCCACCACTCCCACCCACAACAAACCCTCCACATGCAGCCAAAGGTCTTTCTAAATCCCTGATGCAACCCTGTTCCTCTTCCTAAAAAAGCCCTTCCATAGCCCCTGTACAATCCCCACTCCTCCCAGGGGCCAAGGCCCTCCTGCTCACCCACCCCCTCGCCTCTCCCCTCCCCATCTACTCTGACCTCTGCAACGCTCTCATTTCTAGACGTCCCACAGCCATTCCTTCTGTCAGGACTGAGTCTCAGCTGCCATGTCTCCCCCTCCAGGAAGCCCTCCCTGACCCGCAGCCAAGCATTTCCTCTGGGCTTCCCCAGTCCCTGTGCTCCTACACACTGTCCTGACCACTCTGGGCTGTCACCCCATCTGGACTGAGCACTCCCCGAAAGCAAGGCCCAGGGCTGACTCCATCACTGCCTTGTCTCCAGCAGAGCCTAGCACTGGGCGGGTGAGAGTAAGAATTCAAACAGCTACAGAGTCAATGAATAATCCGGCTCCAAAGACCTGGGTGGTCTGGGAATACAACTATGGACCTGCCATCTCGGTACTGACGACTTCCCAAGCATCTCCTACCCAGACCTCTGCCTGGACAACTGGAACGGGGGGGACCCAGTGGCTGTGGTGAGCCTCACTGGGCCCACAGACGACTAACAGCAAAAACCCTGCGAGCTTCCTCCCTCCCGGAGAAGTGGGTCAGCAGCAGACGCCCTCCACCGCCCGGCCAGCCCACGGGATGCGGGGCCTCAGACACTCACAGCGGTCCGGGGGTGTGATTGTGATGGACTGGGCAGTGAACTCATCATCGAAGTACCTGGTGTCGACCTCGGATGTGACCTGAGGTTTGAAGGGCGGTGGGAGCTGCGGAGGAGAGGAGCCCAGGCTCAGGACCCTGAGGCCAGGCGGCTCGGGCCAAGGTCACCCACAGGGGCCGAGCTCCTGCTGGCAGCAGCGGGTGGTGGCACTCACCTTCTTCTGTACCACATCCTGCCAGTTGATGCTGAGGAAGAACCTGTGCTCCATGACCTCCTTGGCATCGCTGGGCCCCCCGCCGAGCCTGGGCAGAGACGGCCATGAGCACCCGCCTCCCGGGGCAGCCAGGTTCTGGGAGACGCTTTCGGTGCAGGCCTGGGCCTGTGACATGCAGGCCCTGAATAACCTTAATAAGCCTGTCCCGGCCACAGACCTCCCCCTCACGGAGGAGGAAAGTGAGGCCAGGCGGGAACTCGTGCCTAGGGCCAGAGCCAGGAGACTGCAACTTGGGCCAAGACCAGAATGTGAACTGAGAGGGCATTTGGCCACCTCACATCCCGGCTTTGCCACGTATGACTGGGCCACCCAAGGCCAGATCAGGGTTGCCCTGCTCCTCAGCATCCCCATGAAACAAGGTAGTGCGGGCAGAGAACTAGAGAGAGGCCTGCCCCCAGGGAGTGCTCCGAGTGCCAGCTGTGGGGACTATCAGAGGCTGTGGGGACCACACAGCACACCCACCAGTGCGTGTGCCTGTGGACACTGCCCCTTTGGGCTGGGGGGACAGTGGCAGCAGGTGGTGCTGGGCAGCGCAGGGCAGTCACCAGCCCTCACCTCTGCTTGGGGTCCTTCTTAAGCAGCCCAGCCAGCAGGGACTTGGCCTCAGGGCTGAGCGTGCGCGGGAAGCGGATCTCCTCCATGAGGATGAGCTCGAAGAGGCGCTCGTGGTCCTGGTTGTAGAAGGGCAGGCGGCCGCACATCATCTCGTACATGACCACGCCCAGCCCCCACCAGTCCACAGCCCGGCCGTAGTCGTTGTCCTCCAGGACCTGATGGGGAGGGGCAATGAGGGGCTAGGACCATACTCTGGGGCCTAGGAGCTGACTGGTCCAGTGGGGACAAGGCCCTGCCTGGGGCTGGGGAGGGCAATCTAAGGAATTGGAGCCCGGCCCTCAGAGCGTCTAGGTGGGGGAAGCATCCGGTCCCGGGGCCCCGCCTCCCTCGGCATCACAGCCCCAGACACCTCAGGTGCCAGATATTCGGGGGTCCCGCAGAAGGTTTTCATGGTGGCCCCATCACTGATGCCCTCTTTGCACAGGCCAAAGTCAGTGATCTTGATGTGGCCGTCTTTGTCCAGCATGAGGTTTTCCAGCTGTAGGAAAAGTCAGTGTATCAGGAACATGTCTTCCCAGGCTTCCTGCCACCTCCCTGAAACCCCAGGTGCCCAGCCCTGCCCTGGAGGGGGCTGTCACACCATGGGCTCCAGGCTGAGCTATGGGATACACCCCAGCACAGGGTTAAGCCCTCACCCTCTGAGGCTCACACCTCCCCAGTCCCTGGCCAACCCCCAGGGGAGCTGGAAAAAAAACAGGGCTGGGCCCTGCCTCCCCTCCCCCACTTTGGATGTGAGGGACAGTATCTCTCTTCTTTTTCCTAAGCTTCACACAATGGGCCATTTAGTGGGCTTTTGTGCAAAACCCCCAAGTCAAGATAGATCACTTCCAGTCTCTGACACCCCATGTGCCCCTTCCCTATTACTAACCATCCCCTGCTCCGGACAGAGAAGTAATTTTACTTCCTTGCTCTCTTTTGCAGTTTCTCCTGCCTATACATACGCCTGTCATCAACACAGATTCGCCTGTCTGTCCTGGCTTTCCCAACGTCAGTCTGTGAGACGCGTCCACGCTGCTGTGTGTGGCTGAAGCGTGGTCTCTTTAACTGCTGTGGAGCCCCAGTATGCGAACACACCACCTGGACTTTATCCATTTTCCAACAGCGGACACCAGGGATTAGTATGACTAGTGCTGCTAGGAGTGTGTCCACATTTTGAGGTGCACACAGGTACCTGTTCCTGTGTGCACATGCCTAGGGCACAATGGCTGGCTCACAGGGTGTGCCCATGTCCACTGCTGGTGGATTCTGCAAACTGCCTTCTAAAGTGCCTGTACCAACTTACACCCTCCACTGCTCAGCAGCCTGTGCTCACAAGAGGCTCAGAAGAGACTTCACGCAGGGCTGCCTGCTGTGGAATCACTACTAGGGGCCACAGCGGAAGGGTTTGAGCCCCAGAGGGAGCTAGACACAGGCACATGGACAGCCTCCCTGGCTCCCTGGCGTGGGTCCTGCATGTGTGCCCGGGCCAGCCTGGGCCCTCCACAGGAGGCGACCACACGCTCACCTTGATGTCGCGGTACACCACGTCCCTCGAGTGCAGGTACTCCAGGGCCGAGACGATCTCGGCACCATAAAAGCGGGCCCGCTCCTCCGTGAAGACGCGCTCCCGGGACAGGTGGAAGAACAGCTGCCGGGGAGGGAAAGGGGGGCAGGACATCAGGCCCCTGGCCCAGAGGAGGGAAGGATGGAACCCTGCCTGGAGGGCCAGTGAACACGTCACATCTACTCCAGGAACCGGCAAGTGACAACCAAAAAGGACCAACTGAGAGAAGAGTTCACGTGAAGGATGACACCGCAGGGAGAGCAGGGGAGTCCCGGGCCATCCTGCATGAAGGGGACAGTGAATGACGGAGTGACAGCGAGGAAGCAGAGGACACGAGTCATGAGCAAGTGGCCACAGCTGTGAGACCACAAGGGACAGATGAAGCCCAGGATCGTGAGCCAGGGAGTCACACCGCGTGAGAGAGGAGTAAGGGTCATGGAGTGGGGGCCAGCAAGGGGCTGAATGCTCTGCAACAGAATCGGGAAAGCAGAAGGCCTGCATACGCTTTCTTTGCAGGTCATCCTCCAAGAACATCCTCTACACTGTCATCCAACCTCCCTCACAGCCCTGGCCACAGCGCGGGACTCGGTTTGTATCCTACCCACTAGCTGTGTGAATTTGAGCAAGCCGTTTCCCCACCTGTAAAATGAAGATGACGATGCCTTCCTCAAGGAGCGGAGGATGGGACCAGCTGATCCCCGGTAAGTCTCCCTCTACCCTCCATCTCCCTCCCCCCACACTTGGGAACGAGATACCCAGAAATCCAGGCGAGGCAGCACGGCTCACCTCCCCACCGTTGGCGTACTCCATCACGAAGCACAGGCGGTCATGGGTCTGGAAGGCGTACTTCAGCGCCTGCGGGGAAGGAAAGTGGCTGGGGCACTGCCGATTCAGCCTAGACACTCCCTCCTGGCCTGGCCACGGGAGTCAGGCAGTCGGGGGTTCAACCCTCAGCTTCGCCTTTTGGGCTGTGTGAGTGGGCTCATGGCTCTGAGGGCCGGGAGAGGTTACTGTGCTGAGCAATCTGTCCTCTGCCTGCCACTGAGCTTCCAAGAGGCAAGGTCAGGAGAGAGACTATTTTGAGCAAGCAGAGCCATTTCACATCTCTCTTCCTCCTCCATTTTACAGTCAAATGCATTAAGCGCGCGCTCGCACGCGCTCTCTCTCTCTCTCTCTCTCTCTCTCTCTCTCTCTCTCTCTCACACACACACACACACACACACGAGGTCTGCTGGCTGGGAGTTGGAGCTGATCCTGAGCTGGAGCCAACCCCAAAGACAGCTTGGACAGGAGATCTGCCAACAAAGAGTAGTTCTCACACTGCTCTCAGGAGCTCTAAAGAGGGTGGCTCAGAACCCTTGGTTGAACTCCACTGTTTTCTGTCTTCTGCCTGGAAGTACCTCGTAAGATCTTATTTGAACAAGTATTGTGGCTTAACAGAACACCTAGACAGCAACCGAGGTACAGAAACAACCCATAAGCCATCCTCAACCTGGTCCATTTAACTAATAGCTGTAGCCCAGAGAGGTGTCTGCTCAGCGTAAGTTGACAGGCAGCACAATGATACATCTGTATTACATTGTAAATAAAAACAAAAAATAACGTTCCCACTGTGACCAGCTGGGCTAAGTGCCTCAGACTCATAGAGACGGCAGCCACGCTCTCCTGGGCCCCTGCAATGTCACGTCACCTGTCGTCTGAGGTGCTGACAGGACGCCATTGTCTAGGAAGAAGCTGCCACCTCTGGGGTTTTGGTTCAGGCCACCTGGGGAGCCCAGCAACACCTGGCCCAGTCACCTGCCGACACTAAGTCTGTGCTTCCCAGCAGCAGGGCTGCTTGTTCCCTGAGTCTGTCCAAAGGGGCTGGCCTGGAGGCTCCCATGTGCACAGGTCTGAGGGAGTCCCACTCACAGTGAGGAACGGGTGCCTGGTGTTCTGGAGGACCCGGCTCTCGGTGACTGTGTGGGCGACTTCATCCTGCAGACAGACAGAGGCCAGGTGAGGGGCTGGTGGGCCACAGCATGCATGCCCCCAACCTGAGGGATGGGTGAACGACAACCCCACTCCTAGCCATTATGCAGAGCGAGAAGGGCAGGAGTGGCACATTACCATCCACAAGCCCTAAGGAACAAGGGACCACGGCAAGGACATTCAGTGGTTTGCTCTCCAAACCACAAGGGGAGAGGGTGGTGGGGACTTTACAATGAACGGATCAGGCTGTCACCTCCCGAGCCCACAGAACAATTCTAACATCCCCAAGAGGGAACAAGCAGACATTATGAGACCCCGGAGGTGATGTCACAGGCCGTGGGAATCACCACCTATAAATGTTCTTGCCAGAAGAAAAACTGGATCTAGAATTAGGACTCCAGGCTGTGGAGTAACGGTTCTGTGTGGTCCCACAGGGGCAGCATCAGTGTTGCCTTGGAATCTGGAGAAAAGCAGACTCTTGGGCCCCCCCTCGGACCCACCAGAACAGAGTGGGCCCGGCTGTGGTTGGACAGGCCCTCCCGCTGACTCTAACACAGGCTCCGCAGTCACCAAGAGCTGCTGACAGGCCTGAACCACCTCTGGGAAAGTCTACGCCCAGGGCGCAATTGGTAACAATGTCTGAAGGCATCTTTGATTGTTACAGCTCAGGGGGAAGGGCGGAAGGGAGCTACCGCTTTCCTGGGTGGAGACGGTCACTGCTCCGCACCCGCAGTACAAAGCATGACCCCACAGCAGAGAAGTCAGCCCACATGTCTGAGGCTGAGGAACCCTGCCTTGGACCAAGGACATTGGGTTTGTTCATCTTGTTGAATGTGGTCACAGTACCACCATTATAGTGTTTATCATCTTCACCTGTTGAAGATACATCTCTAAGTACGTATGGGTAAATTCTATGCTGTCTAAAACATGCCTTAAAATACTCCAGGAGAAAGAAGGGGTGGGCAGAGCTAACAAAACAAGATTGGCCAAATGTTGGTAATTGTTGATGCTGAATGAAGGCTACATGGGAGTCCAATATATTTATTTTTCTTTTAAAAATTTTGTGTATGTTAGGAATTTCCCATTTAAAGAAAAAAAAAGGGATAGAATTCCATTCCTGGCCCAGCCTCCTACTGAGACACCCTGAGCCAAGCCCCCACCCGAACGGCCTATGGGGACACCTCCTTTCAGGCCCTGACAGCCGACTGGATGAGACCAGTCACACTCTCCACGTCCCTTCCCAGGCGCCCAGAGCGTGGGGTGGGGGCTCAGCAGGCAGGCCAGCCTGGAGATTTACAGGCCTGAACCCAGAGGAATAGGTTGGCGGAGAAATGAGATGTTGGCAGCAGAAGGCACAAGTGGTGTGTGGGTGTGTGGTGTGTGTGTGTGTGGTGTGTGTATGTATGTGTGTGTGGTGTGTGTGTGTGGGTGTGTGGTGTGTGTGTGTATGTAAGAGTGTGGCTGTGTGTGGCTGTGTGGTGTGTGTGTGTGTCTAGTGGTGGTGTGTGTGTGTGGGTGTGTCGGTGTGTGTGTGTATGTGTG